GCTGCTGCGGGGCCGAGCCGGCCGCGCCCTCTGCTCCCGCCACCTGGTTGGCCCCCAGGGAAGGGAGCTGGCTCGGTCTCCACAGCGCCTTTAGGCTGGCCGTTTCCAGTTCACCCCCCCCTCCGGCTGTGCCCGAATCAGGCCGACCTCTTGCAAGCTGGTGGGTGTCTCTGCGGGAAGAGGGACCAGCAGGTTGTCACTTCGTAGGCTTCTCCCAAGGCACAGCCCCTTGCCAATGCCACGCTTAAAACTCACCTGTGTAGCGCGGAACTATAAAAGACTTGAAAATCATGAACTGAGAGCCATAAGTAGAGTTTTTGTTATTATTTTTATTTTTCCAGTTGAAGGGGTTGTGTTGACCCTTGGACCCTGCTTGGGTAACATTTTGTCGTATCACCTCCTGGCTTTGTCTCAATGGAGACACAGGCTCCCCATCCTTGGAAACTTGGCCTTAATGGTATCCCGAGGTGGCCATAACCTGAAAAACTGCAAGTAGAAGTTCAAGTGGTTTATTCTTAGTATTACTAGTGAGCTTTAGGATTTATTTTTGTGAGAATGGGAAATATGGGTAGGTTTAGAGATTTTTATTATATCAAAGTGATCTGGAAGCATATAGAAGTCATTGCAATATACTTTATCTAAACATAAACAGAATATTTAGAGAAAATAAATATAGTAAATATATATTTTTTTCCTTAAAGTGCACTTTTTTTGTTTTAACTGGCAACCTGGAAGAATATCTATCAATTATGTAAGTGGTGGATTAATCAGTGGTGAAATAAACTGAGGAAAATAGTAATAGTGTGTGGTTTAAATATATACATTTATATAAATTCAACTTTTTTTCTTCAGTGAGGAGTATTAGCAGAGGCCATACCATCAGGGAAGGGGAGGTGAAGAGATTGTTAAGCACATTTGGGAACCCTTATTTCATTCTGCTTCTGGTTAGGTTCCAGCAAGTGAGAAACTCTTTGGAGAGGGCAGTATGCCATGTGCTTCTCGGGAGGGTAGACTTGACTTGCTCTGCTTCTAGCTTAGTGAATTTGGGCTTCAACAGATGAATGCAGGAACTTGTGTATAACTCATAAAATATACTGACATTGCAGAACGGAAGAAATGAGCCAAACTGTTCTACCAAGAAATGAGCTAACACTTTGTTCCCCATAGTTTGGGCATTGGCCCTATGAAAGGGTCCCATCTTGGAAGGATCTGCCCTTGACAAGATTATGTGGAGGGGTCCCCCGTGAAGAGTTTCTTGAGCCTGCAGCTTAAGGGCTATTACAGTTAGCCATGAAAACAACTGCAGGTATTGATTACCTGGTAGTGTGTAGGGGTCTTTGAAGAACACGCAAAAGTGTCTCATGAGAAGAAACACTTGAGTAACTTGGTATGCCAAATACTAACACCACAGTGCAACTCTACTAACGAAACCATTTCTAAACTTGTTCCACCCTTCTTTTTATTTATTTCTGGAGAAGCCAAAGGTAGTGGTGAAGAGAGGGTTACGAGAAGTGCACACAGATAGGAAGAGAAGGGAGGGCTGAAAAATACCTAAACGCATGAGGCCCCAGGGTATTACATATTTATTATATTCTAAATGTAGGTACTGCATGTAAGAGGTATTCACTGAGAATATTCTATAAAAAAGACATATGAAATGCTCCGTATTCATAAGGTTTTAATTTGTCCACCTATTGGTCACACCCATTCTGGTCCCATATGTTCTCTGTTCAAGCACAAAAATAAAGCCCATGATGTTCCTTAAGTTGATGGGCAAGCTACAGTTGACGTCCCTGTAGAGAACAAGAGTGTCATAGATATCTTCCACAGAAGATGTTCTGTCAATGAACTCCTTTGCTTGAACCTCAGTTCTGGTTCTCATAAAAATATCACCAGTGGGAAAGGCGCTGTGGCTGAGGAGCAGACAGAACACAGGAACAGTGTATACACAGATTTCGGGTAGTGTGGAGAGTGCGGCCCTTTCAGGCCTCTCTACTCTACCTCGAGTACATTAACTGACCCATCTCCTTCCCACTGCTTATTCCTGTGTGCTTCAAACTGATTTTAATATACCATGTGATTCAAGCATTTTCATTTGTTATGGGACCAGTTCTATTTTTTGAGCTCTGGGATTGCTTGCATAGTAATGTGCTTGTAGACTATCACTGACCTGACACAAAATCCATATAATAGCTCCTCATGCTATAGTCTAGCTTCCTTTCAAGGCTTGTAACAAAATACCTGCTAGTGGGTTTGTATATTATCTTCCTTACTTGATATGTTATAAAAACCATGAAGCTATGAAATATGTCTTTAGTGCCTTGTAGAATGTCCAGGATATACCAGACATTCAATAAATATTTTTGACTATATAGATAAATACATATTAATAGGCAGTAGGGTACTTTTGATTTAGAAATGTTTTTGAATTAAAGAAGAGTTGTGGAACTAGTACTGGGAATTTCCAAATACCTTTCACCCAGCTTCCTCTAATGGTAAGATCTTACACATTATAATTATCAAAGCATAGAAATTAGCATTTATACACTATTAATGAAACCACAGACTTGACTCATTTTTCAGCAGATTTCCACTAATGTAATTTTCCATTTCAGGATCCAATCCATGAAGCCCAATTGTACTAGGCACTGTGTGTCTTCTTCTTGAACTAAGAAATAGTGGCAATTCCCTTATATTTCATAACATTGATTCTTTAAAGAATACTTTTCAGGTATTTTGTAGACTATCCCTTGATTTGTATGTGTCTGATGTTTTCTCATTATAAGTTATATATTTTTGGTCATGTGCCATTTCTCCTATGCCATATCAGATGATACATGAGGCATCAAATTCTTATTACTATTCATTACTCTTTAGCATACTGATCCCAATTACTTTAAATCATCTATCAATTTCTACATGTGTCAATCATATATGAATTGAATTCTGATAATCGCTTTGTCTCTCAAGAGCACATTGGTGTTTTTTTTGCCTTTTTGTATTTTAATATTTTCTTTTCCTTTTTCTTTCTTTCTTTTTTATTTTTAAATAAACCAGTTAGCCCGGCTTGGCATGGCTCAGCGGTTGAGCGTCGACCTAGGATCCAGGAGATCAGGGTTCGATTCTTGGTCAGGGCACATGCCCGGGTTGTGGGCTAGCCGGTCAATGACTCTCCCATCATTGATGTTTCTATCTCTCTCTCTCTCTCTCCCTCCCCTTTCCTCTCTCTGAAATCAATAAAGATATATTTAAAAAATAAATAAATAAATAAACAAACCAGTTATCTTTTGTAGCAGAGATCAGACTGAGGTAAATAGATTTTACAACCTAGAAATGGGAACACTTTTCCTTTTACTAGGTCTTTGAGGCCGGGGGTTGGGCTAATCTGATTGGAACCTGGGCTGGGTCTGATGTGTTGTTTTTGCTTTGTTTGTAGTTTGTTGTTGTAATGTTACCTTGGGTGTCACAGGTGTTAAATTACCTAGGGGATACTTTGGGTTTAATATGGGGGCTGGTTTGTCAGATAGTTTTTTCCAGTGTCTCTTCATTCTCAGATCTAGGGCTTTCCAATCGGCTGTACCTCTGCAAGTGTCTGTCTCTTACAAGTTACATGTTTCAAGATATTTGTAGCATGGGGAAGGGTTATCACTGTGGGGCATTTTCCGTTGTTTTCAGTCTCAGACACACCCCATGGCCCTGAACCTCGAGAATGCA